TACTCTTTTCATATAACTGATCTTCTTTAAAGATTTCTCAATTGGAGAACAGTTTCACTTTTATGTTGAAACTATTTCAGCCAGTGCACTTGAGCACTTTTACTCTTTCTTAACTCGAGGTATTTTCAAAACCCCTCTTTAGGCCTTGACTGGATTATTGTTTATCACTTCATCAGACTAAGAATCAGATCTCAGATCTGCATACCTCCGCGAGGAGCCTATAACCATTCTGAGATTTGACTCTATCCTTTCTGTATTTTTTGATGGGATCAATCTTGAGGTAACTGAGAATGTGATTCGTCCTAATGTGTCACTTTTGTTTATATTTATTTTTATATATCTTTACATATTTATATCTTTATATCTCTATATCACACACATAAGTGTGTTCTATTTTAATGTGCTGTCGTAATATGCCGTAGCTGTAAGCTATATATAACTAATATACTTGTTACAAATTTCTTTGTAATATAACAAATTTAATATGAAGCTAATAATACTATTATCTATATCCCTACACTTCAGTTAATTTAAAACAAAAATTTTTTTTAAATACATATATATTGTTTTTTTTGATATCTTTGTATAGATTTCAACTCAAATTTTGATTAACTTAATACTGGCAACATTTTCAACATATCAAGCCAACAGAAAAAATGCTTTTTTTTTTCAGAAAATTGCAATATTCGTAAAATTGAGATTTAAACGATAAATTATGCGTTTCTGCATAATAATTGCATAGACTCATATCTGCAAATATACACGCAAGCCAGTGCAGTTCTTTTAAAAAAAGTGCATTAAAACGGAAAAAATTAAATTGTCAATTTAATGCTCATATCACCCACACACACAAAGTGCATGACAGCAAATTAAAGCCTGCATTTGCGGTAATTATACGCCAGAGTTGCAATCAACAGTAGTGGGCGCGGTCCCGGTTTCTGTGTGTATCATTGAAATAAAAACATTTTATTCAAAACTGCCACGGCTTAAATTTTTATTTCACTTTCTAACTAAAATCTTGTCCAAGTTGCGGTTTTATGCAAATTCATAAATTTGCATGAAATTAAAAATGTTTAAATATAAAATTTTTCTTTGTAGATTTATTACGTTTTCAACAATATTTTATATTAAAAATGAAAAACAAAAGAAAAAAAACATGCAAATTATATATATTTAAAATATACTACTATGTGTATATGTAGTATATTTTAAAATGTTTTCATTATAAAGTAAAAGTAGGTGAACACATTTTGCTATTAACATTTTAAATATACGTGTAAGTTAATATTTATTATTTAAATATTTAAGTAACAATTTACATCAGTACTACTATTAACCTAAATAGTTACACAGTTCAAATTATTGTATCTAGTTAAGAATCACTGCGTTTAATTGTACAGATTTAGTTTAAAATATGTACATACATTTTAACAATTTATCAGAAATAAAAGGAGACCCATTCAATGCCAAAAAACCTTAAGTAGTATTATATTGAAAGCATAAAATAAATTAAATAAAAATTTCATGAAATCAAAATACCTAGTAACTTTAAATAATTTTATAAAAGTTAATTAAAAATAGAAGGCAACTTCTTTCGGCTGAGATGCAATGACGAATATCAAAACCAGTTAGATCAACCAAGAATAATCAAACGAATAAAATTAAAGCAACTAGAATGGGCTGGACATATCCGAAGAATGAATATGTCCAGCCAATCTGCACAAGAAGTAAGAAAAAAAACACGTTGACCAAGCTTACGTTGTATAGACAACGTTGAGCAAACGGCAAAGCTGTTTGGAACAACAAACTGGAGAACTTTAGCAAGCGACAGAGATACATGGGTGCAGTTACAAATGGAGGCCAATATTCAATTAGGTTCGTTGCGCCATTACTCGAAAAAAATCGTTGCAATCCTTGGAACTTTCACTGAACAACTTAAAGATATTGATTACGCACACGATATATGCCTTCTGTCGATTAAACATACAAATATGTGATCTAAACTGGAAGATCTTTCAGCAAACTCTGCACGCTTTCGCACAATTACAGAATATATGGCTCACAACCATCTTATCCATCAAAACTAAGTTACGCATAGTCAAATCTAATGTTTTATCTCTTTATGAGCTACTCTACGAGTGCTGCATATGGTTTCAGACGCACTAAAAAGCAAGCTGTAAAACTTTATCAACAGTGTACTATGCCGCATACTCAAAATATAGTGGCCTGATATGACAACTAATCTAGAACTTTAGGAAAGATGCAACATTATTTTCAGTAACAACTTTGATTAAGCATCACAAATGGAA